TCATCCACAATCAAGTCATGGATGAGGGAAGATTTATTGTTGACCGACCTGGCATTGAGCAGCAGCACCGTCAGGCCCGAGGGGCGGTTGACAAAACTACCTGGAACCCTCTGGCTGGGGGCAAAACCAGAAGGAGGGACAGGTGTCAACCATCTGTCCCTCCTTCTTCTACACGGACAAATTAAGCCCCCACCGCTGTTATGTCCATTGCCCATGACCACCCCAATGGCGGCGCCCCCGTGCTCCCCAGGAAACACAAACGTCGACATGGCCAGGAACGACTCCATAAAAACAAATTAAAACAGATTAAAATACAATAAAATTATAAAAACAATCAAAAACTCCCCATTCCCTCGGCGGTGCGCCCCAATTAAAATTTGATGCAGTAATAACTTATGTGCATTAATCAATGTCTGCCTTTTAACCTAAGTACAAATAAAGCCATTTGGAATTATTGGTGAAAACAGTTTCTCAAGTGATCTTCAAAGGCCACCTTTATATGTTTTTTGGAATCAGGTCAAGACCTTTTTATTTAACCAATATTTTAAAATTATTATTAGAATTATTTTAATCTAACATATTTTATTAATTTTATATATTTCAGTCATAGGTATCTACTTTATTATTGTTTAGGATAGAAATGTTATTATTTATTGTTATATTTATAGATTGTTGTGAGCCATCCAGAGACAAAAGTGATTGGATGGCCGGAATGGGTCGGGGAACCCCAAATAAATAAATAGTGCCACAGAAAGCAAATATATTAAACTCAACTTAATTATAGGTTCCTTGTAGGGAAGCCATGACAGACAAATTGCTTAGGATTTGCAGTGTGGTCTTTTAGGTTAAGAAGCCCACTTCTACTGATTTTACTGCTAGAAACAGGTTTCAAAGCTATTCGGATATAATTCAAATTCTCTTACATTGGATATTTATGTTACAATAATTCCCCTTATGGTTACTTATCCTTCTTTCATTGGTTGAAAAAACATTTCCAAGAAATCCCCAAATACAATCAGGTATGATACATACCTTGTCAATTCTCTTATACCTCAAGGGGTTTACAGAAATTGCTTCACTGGTCCAAGTTGCTGGGTTTATAACATATTCTGCTTGCACCCAATCTCCTTTATAAGGATCAAAGCCTTAAAAGTAAAATTATAAGAGGCTTATTTGTATGTATTATTACATTTTTATCTCACCTTTTCCCCTCTCTCAAGGAACCCAAGGTGGTTTACATATCTTCATTCCACTTTCCATTTTATCCTCACAAGAACCCTATGAGATAATTTAGGCTGAAGCAGGAAATCTCCCAAATGGAGTCACTTTTATTAGACTATGTTGCCTAAACAAGACAGGTAAAAGACAATGTACCTAGCTGTCTAAGAACTGGAATTAATTGCAGTATATTTTTGAACACTGGTGGCCAAAAGTAAAATTTCAAAATAGAAAAAGGAAAATACTACATTTCAGCAGTCCATGTATTTCTGATTACATCTAAAATAAGATAAACTATTCAGGAATAGTTTTTCCTCCCATAAACAAAAACAACTCTTGAAAGCAAGTCAAGTGACATATATCATATATTAACATATTCAAAAATAACCTTTAAAAAACCAGTTCACAGCTATCAGTACTTACATATTACTTTAAAAAAACACTCTGCAACAAATTCTCAGCTGTTTACTGTAAGAAGTCCTAGGAAAAATATAAAAGTTACCTTCACAAACATCTTTCATAAGGAAGGAGACTGTCTGATTTATATGTCCACCTTCAGCAGTTATAGATGTAATATTGCCAATCAGAGTCCTAGTATCAGAGTCCATTTCATAAGCACTGCTATCTTCCCATTTATCACAGATGCTTTCTACCTGCAACGTTAAACAAATGGGATTTTCCTACAGATGGGGCTTATCGTTGGATCTCTGAGGGTCATATAGGTGGGCAACTGAACTCCTTTTTAAGAGGTCTCCTTACCCCACTCTGACAGGCCAAAGATGGTGCAATGTTGCTTAAAAGCTACAGGTATCCCTTGCTTAACGTGGTTTTGATTAATGTAGGTTTTGATTAACATGGTTTGTGATGATCCCTTGATATACGCAGCAGAGTTTTAATTTACATGCCTTCTTAAATTTGCCGTGAACTACTCATCAGATGACTCTTGAAAACTTTTTCAACAAAAATTGTAATAATTAATATAAGTACATTTAATATTTACTTTGCAATCATATTTTGTCTTCCTTAAAATAGTATCAAATGATGAATTGTTAATACAGTAATAGATTATGGACAAATTGTAATTTTTACCATACATGTGGCAATAGTGTGTGATCAATTAACAGCATTAATCAAGGGATACCTGTATAACCAAAAGTATTCTAGAAATATTTATCTGCAATTCATCCTGGAGCTTTACTAAGAAGAAAGTTGAACAAAACAATGGATAACCAGGACTAGACTGAAGTTGATGTTTACCAATATTATAAGACTTCTTACGAAATGTCTCTGAAGGACACCAAAACACTGAAGCCAGTCAGGTAGCCATGAGGCTTAAAGTCACTGTGCTCCAGACTGTTGTAGAGATATTTAAGGCTCTTATAAACTGTTCAGTTAGCAGACAGCTCTCAGAATGGTGTCCAGATTAAAACAATATAAAAACATAATATGCATACAATGTATCACAGGACAGTTAACTTCATTGGAGCAGAACTTCACCACCAACAATAATAAGTAATAATAATCTGTAATACAAGAATAAAATCAAATCCCAAAATGCTGGTAACCATATTAATATATCCCAATATAAAATCCAACATTATTATTTAATAATTAAAATGCAGTGAAAATAAAAAGGTTTTAAACCTCGCACCAAAATATATCTGGTCAGTCCTAGGTGCACCTCTCTTGAGGACGGATTTCATAATCAGGGCACCACAGGTGAGAAGACCCTTCCCCTCATGGCAACCTTATTTCTTTTAGAGGTGGCTCCCAGAGAAGGATCTCCATAGATGACCTTAGGACCCAGGGAAAATATGGTCCTTCAGATATCCAGGTCCTAAGGTGTTAGGGCTTTATCAGTTAACTTAAGCATCTTGAAGTGGGCCTGCACGTCAACCAGTAACCAATGTAGACAATAAAGAACAAGGCTTATGCATTCATACCTGCCTGTCCCTGTCAAAAGGCAGGCTGCCTTATGTAAGAACTGAAGTCTCCAGATGATTTTCAAGGGCAGCCCCATGTAGAGCACATTACATTAATCTAAATGGGAGATTACTAGAGCATGGATTACTATTGCTAAATTCTGCCCTTCCAGATAGGGGAACAGTTGATGTATCAACTGAAGTTGATGGAAGGTGCTCCTGACCACCAATTGCACCTGGAACTCCAGGGACAATTCTGGGTCCAAGAGAACCCTCAAACTCCACACTCAGTCCTTTAGGGGGAATGTTAGGGGGACAGGGAAGATATCCCCCCTCTGGACTAAGGTTCCACCTGCCGATAGTATCTCCCTCTTGTCTAGATCAAGTTTCAATTTGTTAGTTCTCATCCAATCCACTACTGGCCAGACACTAGTTCTGAACTGTCACAGACACATCTGAATTAGATGTAAATGAGAGGTAGCCTGAGTGACATCAACGCATACCTCCTGATGACCACTCCCAGCAGTTTCCTGTAAATGTTGAACAACATGGGGGATAGGATGGAACCCCACAGCACCACATGACACTACCCCCTCCAGGGCCACCTTCTGGAATTGGCCGGTCAGGTAAGAGTAGAATTACTGCAAAGCAGTGCCTCCAACTCCCATCCCAACCAGCCTATCCAGAAGGATACCATGACTAACGGTATTGACAGCCACGGAAGTCCAGGAGAACTAACAGGAATGCACTCTCCTATCTTTCTCATGACAAAGGTTATCCCCAGGGCAACCAAGGCAGTTTCAGTCCTGAAACCAAGCCTGAAACTGGACTGAAATAGACCCAGATGATGTTTCCTCTAAGAGTGCCTAGAACTGCCTTGTTACCATCCGCTCAAGCATCTGGCCCACAAAGGGAATGTTAGTAATTGGCCTGGAGTTGTTAATGTCCTCTGGTTTCAGACCATTCTAATAGTTCCTCCACCCTTGCAGAGGGAAAGGGAAGTAAATGTGGAAATAGTGAATGTGGAGATGAATGCCACCAGAAAATGCAAGCCATGCAGCTAAGTCCATTCTGTGTAAGCACTAAGTTGGTATCATAGGTCTGCAGTCCAAAATCCTTAGCTCTGAAGGCAGAAGACATTCCTTGAAAGTCTAGAAAGAATATTGGCAGCTTTTATCTATGAGTTTCATTGACCTTCCACAGAAATCTTGGCCCAATAATAGCTGCAAGAGTTCAATGCAGGACCATTATTCTCAAGCTGCTACAATGTATGTAATCTATGAGAAAAATTCAGGAGAAAGAGATGCTATTTTGGAGGCCAGGCTTGGGAATAGTATGTATTTCAAAAAGACTTTCAAAACTGATCAAGGACCAACTGAGGAATTTATGAAAGCTAAGTAGATGGCTACACTTTGAATTTCTTGTTAAATAGCCTGCCAAAGTATGCAGCCATCGCAGCAGTGCTGGGAAATGATTTGATACTCCAAGAGCACTGCAGATTTGATTGGGGGCTTTTGGGTATATATTCTGTTGCATTAATCAACCCATACAAATAGATTTGGATTTCTCTCTTAAGCCACTACTTATCCACTGTCAGAGAAAGGAACAAAGAATAAGGGAAGTTGGCCCTTCTCACAACTCTATGCAAGTTCCTCTTAAGGGGTGTGTACAGAAGTTTTTTTTAAATGAATGGCTTAACTGATCTCTGTGGAAGGAAGGAGGTAAGGATACGGCTCAATATTTCTTCTCCCAATATGTGATCCAAGATAAGCTGTTCTATGGGCAAAACTGGAGTTGCACAAGAACACAAAATGGAGAAAAAATCTGCAGTTGCTGATATAACCCATGCACAGCATATCAAGAAACACAGTTTCTCTTACCTCCCTTCACTCAGGACTGCACCACTGACTTTTGTTTTTCTAGTAATGGATCATACACATCAATTGGGTCTTGTTGCTGTTTACAACTTGGTTTATCAGTAAATTTACTTGAAAGCTCATAAAGGCAAGCTCTTTTATTTGCTTAAATTATTTTATGCAATATCAACAATTACCACCTAAACTTTATTTCAGAATAGCTGTCTTGTTATGAAGGAATATCTGAGAGGATAAAGAGCTCTCAGACAGATGGATTATGAAGTGCTTCAATTCTTACTGTTTTCCTTATGTCCATTAGTATCTGTTGAAAAGGATTCCTGTTCAGCTCATTAGGAATACTGAGCAGAAATACTCTTGAAATGAAGCGAGTGCAAAGGCACACAGTGGAGTATGCAGTGTTCTTGTTTGTAATTTTCCTTTATATGTCGGGTCTTTTTCTCTTTGGTTTGGGTTTGATGTAATCTTATATGATAGCTTTTTCTCCACTTTGCTTTTCCATTGATTTCTTTGTACATGTGAACTTTATTTCTGGTACTCTGATTTTTAATTCTCAACAGAGCTGATCAGTCTTTCTCCAGGGCAAGCTACTGGAAGCATCTTGTAATTTCATGGCAAAAAGTCTTTTTTATGTTTTCCTACCTATGTTCTGTATTCCTACATGTATCAATACTTTTCTGTCATCCCTGCAAACAACTAAAGGATATTTCTGAAGGTGTGCTTGTATCTAACTTAGCTTTACCTTTCTAATTACATACCACTTTGAATTATTTAGGACCTATAACCACTCCAAGCCTTGTCAATCTGATTGTGCAAGCAAGCCTTTGAACTTCAACCAGTGGTGCATGTCTGCCACCTACTGGTGGCTGGACATATTCCTCCATCTACAATACTAGCAATAGACTGCGTTAAACACTTAATATCCAAATACCCAAAAATGCAACCTTTTTTTTGTTTTGTGAATGCCATGCCTACTCCCACCACCCCTCTTGACAAAATCAATGAGAGGCTTCTTTTTTGACTAGTACACAACTATAGTTCTATCAAGAATCATACTGTAATACATCTAGATTGTTCATTTCTATGGAACCCAGACAAAACTTTAGGGAAACTTGTACTTATTTCTGGAGAATATACAACACAGGCTCTCAGAAGCTGCTAGTATTATATAGTATTATATGATATAGATTGAAAAGGTGTTCAGATATTTGAAGATACTAATGATTTCTTAACAGAAATATTCTTACAAGCTTTTGATTTCATATTGTTTGGGATATATGCATCCACTCTGGCCATCTTGTCACTGTGTAGAAAGTAATAATGGATCCAGGTTGTCTGTTCCCTTTATCTGAACATTGTACCTTGTTTCATAAGCCCTCCCAAGAAGAATGGACATCTATCACAACATTAGTGAGGCAGCAAGCAATTATCAGACACAGCCTGAATCCAATGCTATTTTCACTCCTCACAGAGGTGGTGAAGCCAAAGCATCTGTATACTCAAGAACCTCAAGACCAATTTTGGTGAGTGTCTGAGTTAACCCTTTACATAGGAATAACCCTGTGTATTCCCACTCTAATCATCTGGATGTCATAAGATAAAGCAGAGCTTTATTTTATAGGCTGTTCCAACAAAAACTTGATCAGCTTCTGTAGTCATTTTAATCTCACCCTGACTGCCTTTAATCCATTAGATGTTTTATCTTCTTCAACAAGAGCTACAACTCTCTGTCCAACTTGCAGTGGCAGTTTGCTCATCACAACATCACTGGTGAAACAAATTAAATCATCTATCATCCCGTAGTCTAGGCAAAATCTTGTAACTACACCTTGTACAGTTTTTACCTCTTTGCCATCTAAAATGAAAAGAAACATATTAAATTCAATACTTTTTTCTGGTGCTTACCACAATCCCTGCAAGTATAGAAAGAAATTATGCTGTCTTTGGTTGTAACTGGTTATAAAACAGAATAGAGAACACAAACCACCTCCGAGAGATCTAAGATGTCTTATAAATGAAGATGGCTAGCTAAATAAGTGCTCTACATGTGGCTTCTGGAGAAGTGTCTTGAAACTTCAGCTGGTGCAAGACGGAACAGCTATGCTGGTTGGCAGTGAATAATATCAGGCCCGTATTACACACGTCCTGAAAGAGCTGTACTGACTATCCATCACTTTCTTCATGTAATACAAGGCACTGGGTTTAACCTGAAAAACAAGCAACAGCTTAGAACCGCAATGCCTACAAATTACCCACAGGCCTGTTCATCAGGCATACATGCAAGAACTTTCTCTTGTGTCATTCCCATACTGTAGAATGTACTTCTTTGAGTATTAAAACTGGCCCCCATTCTTTTGGCTTTTAGAAATCATGTGAACATGTATCTTTTAAATTTAGCTTTTAAATTATGTAGCTGCTATATTCTAAATATTTTTATAATAAGGTTTTATTGTTTTAAATTGTTATATAGTGTCTTGATGACTTTTTAACAAATATGGTAGTATACAAATGTTAGTAAACACCAAATAATTGTCATAAGATTAAATGTTTTCCCCAGTACCCTTTTATGATTGCCTTTTTTTTTTTTTTTCAAATTAGCACAGAAATAAATTGCTTGATAAAGTGTGTCATGGAGAAAATCAGACCACTGCTTGTATATTCCTTCCACACATCATGTAGGCAGAGTAACTAGACACTTTATGAATTTCAATAAACTTTATTTCAGAATAGCTGAAGCGACAAAACTATGGTTTGGACTCGTGTAGTGTGGGGAAAAAATGTGCAAATTTTAGTCTCTTGGTTGCACCAAACCATAGTTTAGTATTTTGAAGCAAGTCAAAATTAAATAACACTACCTTCAGCAATTTGCGGCAGCAAAAGGCAAGGAACCATGCTGGGTTCTTTAGGCAACTGCATTTTACTGAGAGTATTTACCAAGCATATACTGTTTCAAAAAAATGAACGACAATATTGGTGCAGTCCTCCTGAAAGAATTCTGCTCAACAGTGCTAAAGTTCAGCTTGCCCTATTTGTAAATTGCCAAGAGAACTCTAAATCTCTCTTCTATTTTCCACATCATTTCCCCCACACTGCCCGTCTCATAGGGCTCTTGGCATTTCTCTACTGTTTACTACTCTGATAGATGAAAGACTAATGGATACTGACATATAACTCCTTAATGGCTTGGAAGGACCACCTTCTCCTATATATACCTACTCGTCCCCTTAGATCAGACCCAGAGGTCTGCCTGAAAGAACCATTCTCCAAGGAGGGGAAGAGGATGGCAAACAGAAAATGGGCCTTTTTAGTAACTGCATCCAAATTGTGGAATAACTTCCCTAGAACAGTTTGCCTGGTGTCGTTATTACAATCTTTTCAGTACCAGGCAAACCTGGTTTTATTTTCCAGGTATTTTAATAAGTGATTCTATTGTAATTAATTTTAAAGAAAAAGATGCCACATACATGGTTCTAAATATCAGCCTTCTCTAACCTGGTGGCCTTCAGAGGCATTTGGACTGCAACTCCCAGAATTCCCATCTAGCAAGGCCACTGACTCAGAATTCTGGATGTTGCAGTCCAAATATGTCTAGAAGTCTGCTATATATCATTGTTATTTTATGGTACTATATGTACACTGAACTGTTTTATGGAATTGTTTTATATGGTTATGATGTAAACCTCTTAGAGAGCCCAGTAGGACCACTGAAGTGATCTGTAAGACCAATAAATAAATAAATAAATAAATAAATGCTACAGCCAATTAACAGATAACAGTAAACCATAGTTTGTTATATGGTTTATTAACCATGGAAAGTATTACCATAGTTATTGCTTTAGCCATGAATGGTCTTGCAGGCAAGCACATAAATCACCAATTATTTTCTCAATTTCTAATTTGTTTCTTTTCCTATCCATTTTGCCTACTTCAAAGCAGTTTCATTTTTATTTCATTATATAGTTTCATTTTGTTGGGTACCTTTTGGGGGGTGGGTAGATAGTAGTGCAAACAAGACCAGGATAAGCCAAAGTTTTGAGTTCAGACATTACAACAAGCCATAGTTTAAACATCCCAGATTCTGTAAGTCACAAACTACTGCTTCTGTGTGGTTTGTACCTGATCACTAACGGAATGGGTTCAGGCTCATTTGACAGATTTCTTAAGACTCTTTGCAATGTAACATTCAACCTGGGAGTATGCTCTTCAAAGGCAGGTCAGAACCTGTGTATTCAAAAATTTATCCATCCACTAATCATTACACTTCTCCTTTGAAACTTAAAATAAAGTCTCTAAGCTGAAGTCACTAAAAATGTCAGCACATGCAGTAATGTTCAGATGCACAGTTCTTAGAAATCCACTGTTTACTAACATTAAGCACCACAGAACAAACAAAGCTTACTGAAAAGTTTGGACACTATTACGCAGTGAGCATTAGTGACATTCCCAAAATGTTGTGAGTTATATGAAAAGAGTTTTTTAGACAGGTTCTTTAGCAGGGGAAAAAAATCAACCTGTATGTATCTCAGATTGCACAGAAGATATTTTCTTGCTTTCTTTTTATTTGATGAAAATGTTGATTCGGTGTGTGGTTGATGTGGGAAGGGCAAATTCTATGCTAAGCATAATTAGAAAAAGAATGAAAAAGAAACCCGATAAATTTACACTTCCCTTAAAGAAATCTATAGTGTGATCAAACCTGAAATACCACATACACATCTAGTTACTGAAGCTAAAAACAGATATTGTTGAGAAATTGGAGCAGCTCCCTTATGAAGAGACATTAACAACATCTGGGGCTGTTTATTTTAGAAAATTAGTAAGGGAGGACTTGATAGAGTGGCACAAAAATATATACTGTGTGGAGAAAGTGGATTAAAGGCCATTTATTGTCCTCTCTGATAGTAGTAGAACCCAGGGTCTTCCCTTGAAGCTGGCTGGGAAGAGATTCAGGACCAACAAAAATAAGAATTTCTTCACACAATGTGTAAAAGTTAAATTATAATTCACTTCCACAAGATGTAGCTGGCTGGACATTGTGTGAACCCAATGTTAGAGTAGATGAGCACGGGCCTAAACCAGCACAGTTCTTAGGTTACTTTTAACATAGTGGAGTCTAAGATATGGTTAAGACTGCCCTGTAACACAAAAGAATCAAAAAGTGAAAAAAGGCAGTTTCTTCAAATAACAGAAAAATCCGTATTTTAAATGGCATGCTTTCATCCTACAAAGCTTTGTTTCTACTAAGCCCATAATTTATAGATTAGCATAATCCATACTAATCTATATGACTATATATTCATTTAGAATAGATTCATTTAGAATATTTATTTATTTAGGAGACTTCTATGCCGCCCCATTTGCTGAAGCCTCGGGGCAGCTCACATCCATAAATAAACTTCCTTAAATTAATATAAATTAACAGTAAAAATTAAGTCACCCTGGCGTATTCCTTCGAATGCATTATCAATTAATAAGCCTAAACTGGATAAAATGCACGTATGTAAAAGAACTGTTTTAAGTGAACGCACAAAACTTATTAGGTGGATGTTACCCTTCTCTATATTGTAATCCTCCTCAAAATATAACTACCTGAATTCAATTCCTAAACTTGAGTGCTCACAAGAGAACCAGTTACTTATGTTTTTAGAATACATCCTTCTGTGTTAACACTACTAAAGGTATCTGCATTTGGGAAGGGCATCTTGACTAGGAATGGAGACACCAATGCAAGAATCCACTATATCCGGAGGAGCCTAAGCCAGGAAGCACAACTACACTAGAAAATCAAGATCTGAGCTGCAAACCGGCCTGTTCTACCTTCTTTCCTTCCTTTCCCGAGTCCCACTAAGCTCAGCGGGACTCTCCCACTTCCGAGCGGACTCGCCGCAAGCTTCGTGGGCAGGCTCGCAACCGGGTCTTGCTGCTCACAGCCCCACAGGTCGAATAACCGGCTCAAACAGGGGTGAGAAAACTGAACTGGGCAGGAGGCCAGTCAGCTCGGCTACCTCTGGCTGAGTGAGGGTCATCTCCCGCCATGTCCAGGTCGGCCTTCCGCCAGAAAAAGGAAAGGGCTTTGGACAAGAGGTGGAGCATCTCCGCAGGATTCGCACCGTTCGCCGGGCGACTCCTCTGGCCGCTCCCACCGCAGCCCGCGCAGAAGCCCCACCAGCTTCACACCTGCGCGGTCCCACAAGCGCGCGGACCTCGCCTATTTTTAGTAGCCACGCGCTGGAGGCGGTGCCGCGCCAGGCCACGCCCCTTGAGCGCGAAATTTGGATGCGCGCGGGCGACCGCCTCCACTGATCTGATCTGCGGGAGCCCTGATGCCGAGTTTGATTTCCTGTTCGTGCGCTGGTGGGTGCTGAAGAGTTATCGGGACGGGTTTTTCCTTCCAGCGGCCGCCCTTCAACGCCTCCTCTTTTCCGGCCTTGTAGCATCCGTATAAGCGAATTAAAAACGCATCAGAGAGCCCCTTCTCCTCCCGCATTTAGATTTTTTTTTCCCGTGGACACGCATTCCTCATCTGCATTTGATGACGTGCACTTTCATCGACGAAATCTTATGCCAGAATAAATAAAGGTGCAATCCTGTAATATTTAGGCAGAAAAAGAGTCGTACTAGTTCCACCATGCTGGCTGGGGAATTATGGAACTTGGAGCCTCCTCCCGTGTAAACACTTAAAGGATCGTGTTCCAAGTCCGTCAGTCTCAAGACTATTGCCTCAACAGATTTAACATGATTACATTTGCACCAACATTTTCTTCTAGCCGCCTTCGGAAATCCCAACGACAGTTCCTTCCCCACGATTTCTCTCCTAATCTGCGCAAACTAAGAGTAGACACATTGAAATAAGTGGAATTCAGACTACCGTCGGATACAACTCAGTGTACCTACTGCAGTCTTGCACTTGCGCATCGGTCCATCGCACACGGTGGGGCTCACGTCCGAGGAAGCGTTGCGCGGAAAAGTTTCAAGCCGCGGAGCTCGGGCCGGAGCTCTAGTAGTCGGATCCTATTACTCGGAAGCAAGCCCTCCTGCCTTCAGTACGACCAGATTAAGGGAATAGACACCATTGCTGAGTTGCTTAGCATTTCCCTTGCACTTCCAGGCTACGGGACAATTGTAGCATTTGTTTCAGTGGTTCAAGTGGGCTTCTACGCTGTAAAAGCGAAAAGCTTGGTCAATTTTTTAGGACACAATCCTATTCCCATTTAGAGAGAAAAACATCTCTACAACTCCCAGCATGCCCCAACCGGTTAATAGGATTGCGTCCTAAAGCGCTACAAAACTCTGACATTGCTTTGAGGTTACGGTGTAACAGATTAGCCAAAAATCCTTATTGTTAGGTGCATAATGACAATGCATTGATTTATAAGAGCTTTGCTGGTGTGCTTTGGCATACCGCGTGTTTTATGTATTATTTATTAATTCAATTTATATGCTGCTCCCACTAGCCATAGGGCAGTTTTATTCTTATGGACACACAGATACAACGTAGTGATTTGATTCAGAGTCTAAACTTTAGAATTTTTATGATTTCAGTACACTGCTTTGAAATCTGGAGATGTACTTATAAGTTTATAAACATGCCTAAGGAAATAACAACACAAATTGAAGTATAATCTTATATATACTTTTTTGCAAGTCTCATTTATAGTCAATAGCGTTTATTTCTGAATAAATATGTATAGAATTGGGTGGTAAAACTACCATTCCTGTGAAACTGGTCAAAACTAAACCACACCTGTGTTGCCAGCCTTACCAAGTTATCAAATGTATGTAGGCATTATCTTAAAAAATAATTACCCATTTAACTGAGAGTGAGTTAATGAAGTTAGTAGGATTCACTTCTGAATAAACATACACACAATTTAACTATCAGTCCTAGTCTTTAAAACCCAGTCAGGAAGTAGCCAATTACCTGCTCCATGTGCCATATTGGCTACGTTCTGTAGTATTCATATATTAGGTAAATTTGCAATCTGTGGGTTGGCTCCAGACTTGGACTGCAATCCACTTGGGGAATAAGTTCACTTGATCTCATTGGGGCTGAGTTTTATGAAGTTTATTTATATATACTATTCTATTGTATTTCAATGTATTTTATCATGTTGTAAGCCGCCCCGAGGTTTCGGCAAGGGGCGGCATAGAAATGTTAATAATAATAATAATAATAATAATAATAATAATAATAATATCATTCTTCCACAAAAGCATTTAGAAACTTTTTTATATTAGTAGCATGACACAGTCATGTTTGAACTTTTCTGTTCAAGGAAGGTGTGCATTTAACTGAACGTTTAGTACTTGAAGCAGCACTGATTATGTTGAAAACGGTTATACTTGTTGCAATACTGGGCAATATTCCCCTTTCAATAGGAAAAATAAAGATGTTTCTAATTAGTTTGTTTTAAGAGTAACAAAATACTGAAAGGTGGTCCTGAAGCATTATGCTGCTGGAGTTGTTTCATAGTTGTGAAAGAATGTTAAAACTGGACAAAAGCCCATGTCACTGTGCTTGTTGCCAATGTGCCAAATCTTCAGCATAGATGCATTCTAGTTACTTAATTTCCTAATAAACAGTAGGGCAGGGAGAGATTAAATGGAGCCAAAAAAGTTGCTTCTTTTTGCCTACTAGATTTTAATTTACCTCGGTTCGTTCATTTTTAAATCTTTGGTCTATAAAATTAAGTGTAAAATATGAAGCCAATGTGCAGAGTTTATGCAGTGTGCTTACAATAACTAGTAAACAAAACATTCAATTATATTCCCCATATGGCACTTTGACACCCTAGTCTTATAATACAATTTGATTGAAAGTCAAACTACCTTGAAATTAGTGAATCTTACTCCCAAATGTCTACAGTTGGTACTGCTTTTTTCTCCAGTCCTTGGTTCCTTTTTTCCCTTTTTTTCTGATCTCGCACTTTACACTGCTCTTTTTGTTTTTTCAGATGCAAATAGAATAATTTTGTAAGAGAAGCTGAATAGAGCATGCTCCTTTGTGTCTACTCAGAAGTAAATGACTAGCACTACCTTATACATGTCACCTCTAAATTCAACTAAGTATCTATTGACAACTGAGAATGATAATACATAATTTGATTCACCAGAGTACAGTACCAGACTACAGTACTATCTAAAAGTCAATGATAATATGGCATAAAGATTTATTACAGAGATGCTTTTGCTTTAGGTTTTGCTTGCAGTAATGATGGAATCAGTCTTGTGAGAATATGGTACAGTAATTTTCTAGTGTGTTCTCCTCATTAAAATTCAGCAGGCATTCCCCTGTTCTCTGGCTTAACTCTGGTTTTTGCTGTGCTTTTGTTCCCCATATGAATAGATCTTGTTGAAACCCAAAGTGGAAGAGGAAACTTTTCAAAGCCAGCATGAATCACTAAGCAGCGAGACTATAACACAGTGTACAGACAACTCTACTCGCAAAATTATTCAAAGCTATTTACCTCCTGGTTTAAAAGTAAGTATGACAGATTTTTCACAGCTGTTAAATATAGGGCTGGCAGTCAATCTATTCTCTAATTAATCCAAAAGGATTAAAATACACATAACTAAAACTGGTAAGTTGCATTTATACAGCAAGCTATTTTGTCATACAGCAAAATTTGCTTGTATAGTAAGATTATTTAAAAGTAATGTAATGCAGTAAAAGTAATGCAAACTAATGTATTTTTAGATAACTATACCTTTCTCCCACTATTTACTGATCATTATACACAAGCAAAAGCTTGTTGTTTAGGTTTTGATAAAATATAAAAGTTGTTAAAATGGTTTACATGTAAAGAATTAAACTCAAAACTAGATCGATGTCACCTTCTATAAAACAAAAGATACAGTTGTTCATTTGGGTGCACATTCACACTGATAACCATGCTTGGAATGTAAAATACAAAGGTATGCAGTTGTTTGTAATTAGTTTAATATAACTAATTAAAATTGCCTATTATATTTACTACATAATTTATGACTCTGTCCTAAACAGACTAATTTGGAAACTAGGCGCTTTAACTAACTTTAAGCACTTTGGTATGTATACTTATTCTAGTTAGGATATTTAGCATTGGAAAATAACATTTTAAATTGAACACATTATCCTTAAGTTCCATTGAAATATGTGGGATGATATGTACCTCAGGGTATAGATTACATAATGGAGAAAAATGAAAACTTGTTAGTTCAAGATACCTAAAGAAATAGACAACAATGTAATTTATTGGTGACTCCAAACTTGGAAGTAGAATGAAAACTTACTTTCTCTTTAAGGCATTATGACCAAGGAAGACTCTTATAGGGAAGAATTTAATTATGACAGGATGCCAACTTTGGAGCGAGGAAAACAAGAGAAAGGAAATTATGTTCCAGATATTAAATCAAGTGACCTTCAGCTTTCAAAGAGGTTTCATCCTTGCTTTATTTATAGAGCATGGATCTATTCTTTGCTGATGGGGGTAAGTATGAAAATTTTTCTGGCCCAGTCAGGCATGAATAGTTAGGTTGTTTTGAATTACTAATGGCCAATAAAAATCAGATTATACACATGTGTAAAGTAGTAACAGCTAATGATCTTTAAGCACCAAATGTAGACCAGTATAAAAGTGTCATCAGAATTTTGTTTTAAGTCAGATGTGTAGTATTTTCCAGGGGAGTATGTTCCAAAGGTATGGTTCTCTTCCCTGGGAAAGCCCTGCCTCTTGTACACTCAGCTTAATGGCTCTGACTGATGGGCCAGAGAATAGGATGAATCCTATACATGTCTATTTAAGAGTAAGCCTCACTGAGAGGAATTAGGATGGGGCACAAATACCTCTTCACTGTCAGTGAGGACAGTAATCTCCATACACCTGTGAAATGCTCCATATCTCTTCCATCAGTGGTATTCCTGCCAGTAGAAAGGACAGGAAGTTATGGTAGGCAATGGCACATTCTGAGGAGTCTCAGATCGCTTTGGATCTCCTGGATCCAAAGTTGCCTCTCTCCTCCAACATGGCCTCACGTTGGCTCCACAGATTACAGCAGCCTAAGTATTAGTTAGAATGAGAGAAAACATTTCAAAAGGAAAGGTCAGCAGAAAAGAAAGGACCTCCCTGCTACCCACACACTTATACATTCTGGCTACTGCAAACCAGGGAGGACTTTGGAAGTGGAAGATTGTGAGCCATGTGGCTCCCATACTGCGCCACTTGATTTCCTTGTTAGGGCATCATTTGTGAAATTTAAGATTTCTGTTTAGTTCTTTCTACAATTAAGTCAGGACACAAAGCAAGATGGTTTACTAGGAAGTTGAATGTTCAGGTTTGACATGGAACAATATTTATTTATTATATTTGTATGCCACTTAAATATATCAAAATCCATAAGCAACTTATAAAATCCCAGGCAGTCCAGTCCAGTGAGGCTCCCACCACCACCACCATTATCATTTTAATTTCTATACCTCCCATAGCCAAACCATTGTAGGCAGTTCACAACATTTGAGTCATCCATCCAGATTTCAACCAGGCCTGACCCTGCTTAGCTTCCAAGATAAGGCAGGGACAGGAACTTCAGGCTGTACAGAGTGTCTATAACACTCCCACCTCAGAGGATTGTGGGTATCTTATGAAGCATGGAAGGAGGATGGACATGAAGGTTGCCTTTGCACTTCTTCTGCCCTACAAAGCACTTAGACACATAGTAATCTAAATATTTTGTCATAGAGACCAAGGAGAGGAGGCTGAGATGGTGCTAAGTTGCTTCATATGCTGGTGGAACCTGTCTCCTCCCCTTTCCATCCCGAACAGCCCACCTCTGAAGTTATTTTTCTGATCTTGGAGTCACAGCTGTAGTGGTTCTTAATGTGTCAGCTGTGTAGACAGAGGGAGGGAGCTCTGAGTTTAGAGTCCCACCTCCAAACTTGGAGCAAGTTCCTCAGGCTGGAGTGGGGGTGACATGTAATCCTATGGCCATCTAGGCACTTCCCAGAATCTATAAGACTGCGCCTTTAAGCAGCTCATAAAACAAACTGCCCTTACGGGTCACAAGATCATTTCTCTATGATGTAGAAAGTAAATATCCGTGGTATTTGGATGACAGAATCATAATATGTATTGTTTGAATCATAATAAATGCAATCTATGCCATTACCCTGGGGGCAATGCTTGATGAAAAGTCACATTTGTCAGTGCTTTGCACAGAATAGCAGAGGGTAACTCAGTGGCTCACATGGTCAGACCATGTGAAGGGTTTTAGTTACACATGCTCCCCTCTCCCTGTCCATCCATCCTCCCTCACTTTCTGATTTGCTGACTAAATCAGCCAAGCTACCAGACTATAATCTCCAAGCCAGAGTTGCAAATCCAGTTCGGACTAGCCTCAAACTTCCAACTGGTGGAAAAACGTGATTTACAATAAGCATATTTTCCCCAGTTTATACTTCATTGCAAGCTACGTTTATTCAAAACCAGTAAATGAGGGAGGCAATTGGAGAGCATTCAAGGAGTGGGAACCTAAAGGGGAACCCTGAAGCCATTCGTGACACCGAAGGTCCAATCTTATGCACATGAAGCCAGAAAAAAATCCTACAGCTCCCAATGTGCCACAGCCAGGACTTCTGTCTGGTCTAAATATGCATAGGATTGCACCTTAAACTATAGTTTAGGTTTAACATCTAAACTGGTTCAGTGTGGATGCTCTATATGGATACAGGTATGGATCCAATGAATATGAACTCCACCTATGTATATACCTTAACAGTTAGCTTCTTCACTGCTTGTTCAGAGACTACTGTCCAGTGCAAAACAATGAGGTCTTCACTGACCTCATCACAATCTGAATGGTTGTCTAGGCAAACAGAGAAGAAATAAAACACTTTCACTATAAGTTTAGTACAGGGATCTCAAACTCGCGGCCCATGGGCCAATTGCCGGGACAGGCAGGGCACGGGGGAGGGGCCCTGCGGCCTTCAAAGTGCCAGCGGCGCCTGGGCCGGCCGCGGGATGAGCGGCCCACCATCACCGCGGTGGTGGAATACTTGATGCGCCCCAGCCTCACCCAGACTCTACTTCCAGTGGCCCCCAGGTAAGTTGAGTTTGAGACCCCTGGTCTAGTAGTAATTCATTGCATTCATTCCATCTTCTTGTCAGTATGCTTTGAGAAGGCCCTGGGTCTGTCAAGAGTAAGAAGTACAAACTTCAATCTCTTGCAATTAACTTGAGTCATAAAAGTAATATTTTTTTCTGCTGAAATTCTCACCATAATATGTACCACTCTCAAGTTCAGCAAATGTGAATGAAAATCTTGTGAGAATTTGTTTTGGATTGCTCTCACCTCTAGTTTAACAATGCACTTGAATTGTCAAGTTTGAACCCAAGTTTGAATCAATAGTAAGTGACACTAGTGAATCAAAGGAAGATAAATATTTTTGTGTATTTAGATCTATGTATTTCCCTTCTGCAGCTTCAGAAAGAACAATGTTAGGAAAAATGAGTAAACCAGAATGTTTATTTAGTCATTAGTCCCAAAGACCATCCTAAGAAATTGTTGGAATAAGTTGAAATTATCAGACTTTTCTGCTGGCATTGCAAGTACTGGCACTGGATATGTTTTCGAACCTTGTGAAAATTCCTAGGGAGTATTTTATGGGAACAAATGTGAAGAGCCTAGCTGTTCCTTGGAAATGTTTTGCAAATAACAATGGTCATAACTATTTTTAGAATAATTGGAAGGATTTGGGTCTCTGTTAACAGGTGATCTTAGCCATTGGAGCTTTCAGAGTACTATAAGACAAAATAAAGGAGTAACTAAGGCTCATAACAATTTCCCCGGAGTCTTTTATGAACCACAACTGCACGCCAATGCTTTGGAATGTTTCACTGCATAGCCACAAAATGAAGACAAGCTGTCTGGTGTTGTTCAGATACTTCAATGCTCAGTGTGCCTGCCAAGAAAGGAGCTTGTTTTATTAAGTTAGCGTTCATTTACTACTTCTATGAAGCTTTATTTTCCCTAAAATGTTGGTGCCAGTGACAAGTGACTGATGTTTACTGTCACAGCCTTGTTGTGGATAGAGGAACTGTATTAAGGGAGGCACAATTGGTTATTTTTTAAAAATGAACATGCTGGACCACAGTGGTCTATTCAAAGAATCTCTGCTGAAGAAATATTAATCCTAGAGATGAATAAGGAATACTGCTTAAGTGTGTAGGAATAAATTATACTTTAAGGAGGAGGGATGGCAAGCACAGGAATGGGATGGAAGAAGAAATTGCAAAGTGATGGTTTGGATAATGTTTTCCGCCCTCCCACCTTTGAGAATTGAAAGGAGCAGGTGAAGATCGTGCCTCTCCATTCTCATTGTGTGTAGAAGACAGCAGTCCTGTGCTATTGTGAAGTGATATTTACATTATTCTACAGGAAGATAAACTCACTAGAAAGCAGGATGCATTTGCAGGCTCAGGGAAATCTGGCTTTCACATGAACGTGGGATTTCCTAGTGTTTGCATCACCGACTTCGTGTGCTGAGGGGAAGCTGGTAGAAGCCGTGCCCAAGATGTCCTTCTATTCTTACTGTACATAGATATGAGGTTGGAAAGTATTTTACTCAGATGTTGAGAAAGAGAGTGACAAAATAAAGCTCTTTGTAGAGAGAGTATTTCCACTGGAACTCTTAGACTGAAAAGTTCTATATTCTTCAGGTAAGATGAAACACTTTTATTCAGGGATTTCTTTTTGCTTTGCCATAGGGCAGAACTACATGGTTCCTGAAGAAAAGAAGAATTGTTGGGTGAGGGATTTGGAGCAGAGAGGAAACAAGGGAGGAGGAGGGTAGCCTTTCATTTCAACATCCCCCGCCCACACTTTAGTATACCAAGTTTTTGGTACACCATTACCCCATGGAGAATTTTATACACATTTGCCACCATAGTACATCTAGTGGTGTGTCAAAGCAACAGTGGGGGGTGGATTTTGGAGTGAAGTGGTAACATTTATACTGCCTAATTCACTTCTCTCCAAATTCCCTCCTGATGTCCCCCCACTGAAAACAACATGCACACACACACACACACACACACAAAAGAACCCTGACTGTTGGGCATTGGTTACAGGTCTTTGTGTGGTCTTACAGACCTAGTAGTTAGATCTGTATGAAAAACATAATAGCGTATGTATGTCTTGTACTGCTGTAATGAATACAGTGACATTTTTAAATAAAATTCTTTTTATGGTTGTATGAAGTGGGAAAAAATCTTTGTGTGAATCTTCTCATAATTTCAGTATCTTTATTGACATCAGCTTTTCATCAGTTAAATATAAATCCATGAGTTCTTTTATGGGCCGCCAAGTCATTGGGTAATAGTTCTACGATCCAGAAGTAAGAAAACATGTTATTTTGACTTGTAAGTCTTTTGATGTTTGGGTTTAGTATCAGTACCGCAGAGAAACCATTGCTAAAATTCCATTTGTGTTTGCACAACTTGCACATCATTGCTTCGCTATATAATTCTTACCAATATATGACTTCATGTCAAATTTTTGCATTTCAGACTTGCATACTCGTTACCTCTGGATTTTCACTTTATTTGGGGAATGTTTTTCCATCTGAAATGGATTACTTGCGCTGTGCAGCAGGTTCAGTAAGCATTATTTTTAATTGCTGTGCTGTCTGAAAACATAGCCAGAATTTAGGGTGCCATCTTATGTATGTTTGGACAGCAAAAAATCTTACAATCCCAACATGTCCCAGTTGCCATTTTTGTTGAAATATGTGTATGCTTGCAGCTGAAGTCACATAACTTTTTCCAGGAGTTAAACTGCAAAATGAAAATGCTTCTTTAGCTATTTCCTGGCTAATGACTACAAATAAATCATTTTCTTTAAAATATTGTGTACCTTTTACTTAACCATGTACATTTTTCTTTTCCTAAATGCTTTAAAACAGCAGAAATAGGGTTGAATCTGAACTTTGTCATACTTAGAGTAGTCTCATTGATTTCAGTGCAATTTTTATTAGTCAAAAAAGGCTCTGATCCAATGAGCATTAGTTATGAGTCATGTCCATTGACTCGAGTAGGACTTGAATTAATTAGAATGAATAATGTGAGATTTTGTAACACGGATAACTTTGGGCCCCAAATCTGTGTGTGGGATTTAGCATACTTTGAGTCAACTTGGCAAATGAGAAAATTGGGCTTTGGAGCCTCATAGTGACATTGAAATGGTTCAAAACACATCCCATGGCAGGCATTAAGCCTAGATCAATGAGCATCAGTGGATGGACATCCAACGTTCTCTTTGTTGGCTAGGTCAACTAGCGATAGTGGTTGGGATAAACTTAAAGGAGCAGAAGAAGGTCACAAGGGTTCTGTCCAATTTTCACAGAAATGGAAGTAAAGAGACAAGTGTTGCAGGCCCTCAGTGTCAGACCTTGCTGCCCCAGATGAGAATGTATGCAGAATCAAAGGACCATAGCTGTCACCATTTGAAAAAGAAGGATGGCGCCCAGATTATGGAATGTGCTCCCTGGAGAGGTGTGCCTGGCGCCGAGTTTATATTCTTTTCGACGCCAGGTTAAAACCTTTTTATTTAATTGCTATTTTAAAAATTAATATTTTATCATTAACCATCGCTTTTTGTTTTTTGTTTTTATATAATTTTATGGAATTGCTATTGTTTTATTGGTTTTCATTGTACGTTTGTAAGCTGTCCCGAGATGCTGAGGCATGTGGTGACGACATATAAAATGACATATATTTTAAATAAAAAATAAAATAAAAATAAGGAGGAAAAAGAAGCCCTCTAGAAAACTTCAACAAAAGCCACTCAAAGACCAGAGGAGACATTAGCTTGTCCTTAAGTGAACGAAGCAATCCTTGGGCTGGAAATCCCTCCCCCTGTCATATTGGTGCTAGAGACCCTGACCCAGTAAGTTGAGTGGTGCTGCTGCTGGGTTCAGATGGCTTGGCAAACCATGCCTGGGTGGGTAATTGGGAAAATGGCGCCCAGTAGTCACAACAGCTTAAACAAGGCACCACGATCATGTCAATTGGATCTTTGTGTCTCTGTTGCATAATGAAGAACAGAGCACCAATCTAGAGGCCATGGACTGAACCCAAACAGCCTTTATTTTTCAGAGGCATGTTATCTCTGTTCCCAGCAAAATTGGAGCTTCCGTCCTTTGTAATTTTCCTGGTAAATTACCCAGCCACACTGAATGTTTGTCTATTTTGTAGTAACAATCTAATGCAGAGTTAGGCATTCTTAAGTTCATTTATTTCAGCCTTTTCACCAGTTTAAGCATGTTCAATCCTGCTTTGGACTATGACCTCTGTAGGATTTTAAAAACACTATTCCTTCTTGGTCAAATAGAACACACTGTTGGTTCTATCATAAATACTATTCTCATGGGTAATGTTAATTACTCCTGAAATTCAGGTTCAATTTGTAAGTTATCCTCTCAAGTGTTCTTTATTTTCTCTCCTAGTGTATACCCTCTGCAGCTGTGAGTTTTGCCATAGCCAGAAACAAAGTTAATGTGGTAAGTGCTTTGAATTTGGAATGGCTGTTCACATTAAATTGCTGTTAACATTCAATAAAAATGAAATATTCTCACTGTCTTTACAGATACCCAATTTTCAGATTCTGTTTGTTTCTACATTTGCTATTACGACAACATGCTTAGTTTGGTTTGGATGCAAACTAGTCCTGAATCCTACAGCAATAAATGTGAGTTGCAAATACTAAAGATCATTATTTAGCTTCCTATTAGATACTGAGTTCTCTTCTTTAATTCAGTATACATATAAAATCTTTATACAGGTTGATAGGCCTTGTTTGAACACTGTTATGTTTTTAATATTTATTTAATTTGTTTCCAATAGCTGAAGCTTCTGAACAGTTCACAAATTACAGATACATTGTTACTATGGCCTGTTGTTAGGATATATCTAGTAGAATGGATCCTATACAAATGAATTGCACAGGTTATTGGAATCCGTGGGATTTAAGTTAATCATCAGTAACTTCTCACACTGATTGCAATGGAACTTAGACAAAACTAAGTTGCTTTAGATTCAACCCAATGTGTATGTCTAGCAGTTAACTTCTTTGCCAAATAGAATGTCTCATTCTTCTGTATTTGGGCTGCTTCACACATGCATATACCTTGCTTGATTACTAAGTAATTAGTAATTTGTAGATTCATGTTATGAACTGACTCTGTTGAAAAGCACTGTGTTTGAGGAGACTTTGTGTGACACAAAAGTTCTTTCTGTCTGTAGTTCACTTTATGTAAGATGGCTCATTCACACATGCAAATAACCCGTTAATACTGCAGTCTTCCTGTGACAAGCAACCCCTTCATTTTTCTTCAGAGAAACCGCTTGAGAGCCAAACACATTTTAACATAATTTCAGCATAAAGAAAAGTTGAATGAAATATTTTCGTGCATCTTTGTGTTTTCCTAGAGACTTTCTAGGAAAATGATAACCATTCCCAGGGCATTTCACTTTTGCTTCTTTCCATACTACATATCATGCCATGAATGATCAGACAAATTGAAAAAGATTACTTTTATCGCCCAAGAAGTACTCTGTCCAAACCCTAAGATGAATTGAAATGTAGGCCTGATTCAAAAGGTGGGGCAACCAGACGATATACTTCTCCACTTGGAATCCTCTTGCCTTCTTCCTCCACTTGTTTTGCCTTTTCTCATATGAAAGAAAATCAGTTGAGGGAAAGACAGAACAGTTGCATGGTGCCTTTTGATCTGTAATTCTTGAATGGTGGTGACCCCTGTTCTGTATGAAAATACTTGGTGTAAAATAGCTTTCCATGTGTCTGGCTCAATACTGAGTAAATCACTTGAAAGTGCCTCTTTTTGAGGAGTTGTGACAGAATGGTTAAACGTAGACACATTAAACTTAGCTCACATGAAGTGCTTCCCATGTGGAATTATGTTCATGAGGTCACAAATTTCAGTGGCTACCATTGCAAATGTAATGTTTGTGTCTAAATCAGACAGGTAGGTTACCATGCACACTTTGATACAATTTTATACAGGCATTTGTGTCAATCTAACTCATTTATTCAATTTTATGTACAGATAAATTTCAACCTGATTCTCTTAATTCTACTGGAAATTTTCATGGCAACTACTGTAATAATTTCTGCTAGGTCAAATGAGGAATGCTGCAGGAGAAAGAAAGTAAGTTTTTCCTTTAATATTTTTCAATAGTCAAATGCTTCTATTTCAGCATGTATCCCATATCTTTTTCTGCAATCTTTTTCCGCAAGCCCTTATAGGACTCCAGAAAAAGCTACCCATTGTGATTCCACAATACAGTGCAGTTATGATGGCAACAATTGATTCAAGGGATCTATTCCTTGTATTCTACTGAATATTTCTCCTTTGGGGTACAGTTTAGCTGGTGAATAATTTCTGGGTACATCCTCAATTTGTTCCATTTTTTTATTTCTGTATTTTGCATGGGAATGAAAGCTTTGTATTCAGACATTCAGCTGTAATAAAATCTTAAGCTTTTTGCTTCCTTTCTGAATGGCAAATGCTTTTTCCAAAGATTAGATCAGTATCCATAATATGTCACCTACAAATGAAGAGGATTTACCTTTGCCTTAATAATTCCTTTATGATTGCATTGGACATGTGTACCCAAAGCCCCAGACTATAAAACATCCATATATTATAAATATCTATGCTCCTCGACCCGGAGCTTTCACTTGAAGCTCAGGTGACAACAGCGGCGAGGAGCGCTTTCCTCCAGCTTCGGCTGATTCATCAGCTGCGCCCCTACCTGGAGTACGACTGCCTTGCAACAGTGACTCATGCGCTGGTGACTTCCCGTCTTGACTTCTGTAACGCGCTCTACGTGGGGCTACCCTTGAAGACGGTCCGGATACTTCAATTGGTTCAGAATAGAGCTGCCAGGCTGCTGATGGGGACTGGACCCAAGTCCGGGCCCAATTCAAGGTGTTGGTAATGACCTATAAAGCCCTAAACGGCTTGGGTCCTGGTTACCTGAAGGAGCGCTTACATCCATATTTGCCCAGTCGCCCCCTGAGATCGGCGGGAGAGGCCCTTCTCCGGGAGCCCTCCGTGAGAGAAATTAGGAGGGTGGCTACTCGGAGAAGGGCTTTCTCAGCGGTGGCGCCTAAGTTATGGAATGCGCTCCCCAGAGAGGTCTGCGTGGCGCCGTCGTTATTTGTTTATCGGCGCCAGGCTAAGACCTTTTTATTTAAGCAACATTTTAAATGCTAAATACAATTGAATTTTATCTGGCCAGGGCGGCTTATTTTATAATGTGTGTTTTAATTAAGATTATTTTATATGGATATTTTAACTTATTGTTTTATCTATGTTGTAAGCCGCCCCGAGGCTTCGGCGAATGGGGCGGCATAAAAATGTTTTAATTAATAAATAAATAAATATATTTCCATAGACATATAAAACTGATAAAATAGTATCGCTTCTAGTTTGTGTTGCATGCTGAAAGGACCTCAAAGGAATGAGGGTATTCAGTTTACCTGTTCTAGAGAAAATGTACTTGCAATTTTGTAGGAGAATAAAACTACAAGCCTCAAGCCAGGACTAGTTTCAGGGGTGTCTTCCATGAATAGAGGCCTCTTTTATGAAACCCGCAGTATACTTCCATTAACACAAACTGTTCAGCAATCTCTTGCACAACGTCTTTGCACAATTCCATGCACAAATACCATGCCTGCCTGCACAAATACCAGGTTGTGTGAAGTCTCCAGCTAGTTTATGTGCAACAGTTTGTAGAGTACAGCACTATTGCCGGAGGGTTTTTCTTGCATTGATCTGTCTTTGGATGCTTCCTCCCTTTGACACCTCCCTTGAGCAACTTATTTATGAATGCCCTTGATACGTCAGATACAGTGCTTCAGCACAATGAAGTTTGTATGTGCGCGCGCGCGTGTGTGCGTGTGCGGGGAGTGGAGAGCAGTCAGAGAGACAGGTATATATAGAAAAAGATGCTGTCACTAATTTATTTATGCCAAAGTATTTTTGTACTTGCCTTAGTACTCTGTGCACAGAGGCAGGACAAGGAGAAGGAAAAGAACTTTCTCACACAAAGTGTACACAAATACGAATGCTTTGGGCCACATGAACCTGAACATGGGTATCCCTCTTTCTGAATGGAAACACAATGAGTTACCTGTATAGTTCTTTCCATCTGCAGGTAGCTTCTTCGAACGGACTACTAACTTTTGGTAAGTTAATTGTTTACTCAGATCATCTTTTCTTTCTTTTCATTTTAGACAACTGTGTATGATAGTACCAGTACACTGAATAATGTCAGCTTTCCAACACGAATCCTAAGATCTTATTCAGTAAGAAATCTTTCTTTTATCATTGTCTATAAAACTGGGATGAGTCTGTTACTATATCCAAATTCCAAGCATATCCTCCTTTTTCCCCCCCAGGTAATTGAAGTGATTATTGGAATTTCTGCTGTGTTTGGTGGAATCATTGCTTTGAATATGGATGTGCTTGTCTCAGGCTCATATCTTTCAGTAACTTTTTTTTGGATCTTAGTGGCTGTAAGTATTGTACAATGGAATCGCATCTATAAACTGGTATGTTCATTTTGGTTTTCAGTGAATTTTAAAAAAACATATAGCAATTCCCCTTTGTCTGTCCATTTGGGAGTGAGATTTGGATATTTAGCTGTCATTGTTGTAAAACTCCATATTATTTATTTATTAACATGTATATGCCTTCAGTAACAATTTTCTGGAGACACTCTTTTGTCGCACTTTATAGGAATTTCATGGATGGGGACCCATGTCTTTTGTAGATTTTCTACCTGTTTCTGAACTCTGTATTCAGAAATGTATGTGATCGCATAAGAATAAAGAAGTGTGAATCAGAAAAGAAAAGAAAAACATAGCTTAGAAAATGTGTGTGTGTGTATTAAGAATGCTAAAATTCATTAGTGCAAATGAGAGTCTGAGATTGTATCTTCCCATCAGGGCACACTTTCCTACAAGTAAACCCACTGGTAGAGCAGGACCTATTTCTAAGGAAACACGGATGTCTTTGCACTGTAAATCAGTTATGTCCAGACTTAGACAGGAAAAAAAGGCTTGTAGCTCCCAGCATGCCTCAGCCAGCTATAAGAATAGGATTGCATCTCAGGTGGCCAATATATTTTCTTTATTTCCCCTTTATAGGAAATAAAGTAAACCCTGAAAGTGCAATATGTCTAAAACATTATGTTTGCTAATGTTCGCCTACCACTCTGCAATGTATAGCCTGAGGATCTGAACATTTTCTCATGTTTGGTTTCATTTTAGTGTTTTCCCAGTGCCATTGCAAGCCACGTTGCTGCTGAATATCCAAGTAAATGCTTGGTAAGTGTGTTTTGAAATGGATGGCAGCACTTCAGTGGAATAATCATCATGTTGCTTTTGCTGTAGAGTGGAAATTGGCCAGCAGATCCTTATGAAAGAAACTAAATCGATCCAGTCCAAACCCCTTTCCTTCAGGCCAGAAAGAGATTATATTTTTACACAGTTGATGACGGTGCCATAATGGAGCAATCACTGCCTGTGGTGCGCACATCAATCCCATTGTGGCTTCTAAGAATTTGGCCTTGCAGGGTTTTTTTTTTAATATATTGCCTATTTGAACAAAGGTGATAGTAGGATAAACATATCTGTATTTCTATTTCGAGAAACTTTTCAGTCTTCATTTATTGCATCTTGATTCCCTGCCTTCCATCCAAAATGCTACGCTTACTGCACTGGCCATTAGATAACAATCTTCATTCTCTGTTGGCTTCCATTCACGTAAAAGATCAAACTTAGTGATCTTATTTTTCATCTTTGGCATCAAAGCGGGTCTGTTGGGTTGAATGATGTTTTTATTCTGGTGTTGTATTTCTATTTGTATTATAGCGTGTTTGTTTGATTTTTCTAACCAAACTCTTATTTATGATTGTAAGCACGCCCCCCCTCCCCCCACCGCATTCCAATGTGACATTTTTCTTGGTAGAAAAATGGTAGAAAAAAGGGAGGATACAAATCTATTTACTCTGATCTGTTTCAAGGTTCTATCACAACCTGCCGTAGCTCCACTGCAACATTAAAAAACCCATCTCTTTAGTGGTTTTTTTTAATGTTGCAGTGGAGGTTGATGTAGATGCAGCAGAAAACATTTAACTGCACAATCAGATGCATATGTACTCAAAATTAAATCCCACTGAGGTGCGTTCTTCCAAGTCAAGGTATATATGGTTACAGCCGAAGGGTACAATTGTATGGGGAGGCATAGGATAGGTTGGAGTCCCATCTCTGATTTTGCAAAAGCACTTGCAGGTTGGAGTTGGTATGTTTCTTTCTAGGCTGGTTGGGCTCCAAGAAGGAAAACGGTCTTTGAAGGGGCGTGGGAAGGACCATTCTAGGTACCAGGGAGGGGAGGAGTAAGGCACTGCCATTCTTTGAAGAATCCCGGTGATGCCTCAGTATCTCCTCCTTCTGAGGAGGGGAAAAGCAGCTATCTAAACGTTTTGGAGGTTGAGGGGATCCTGAAAGCACCCCTCGTCTGTGTTTCTCCTGCCCTCCATTGGAAACCAGGAATTCTCCAAGTTCTGAGGGTTACAGACAGCTGAATGGGATGGCATCCTAAGTGAATTGAAAATCTCATTTAGTCCCAGTCTTGGTACATATTGATTTACTCTTCCTTTCCCCAATTTCTGTTTGACAACTTTTCCTCATACTGGCTAATGACAGAAGCTCCACTGTGCTTAAAGAGTTCAGCATGTAGCCCTTTGGAGCCTGCGTCTTTGTCTAGATATTGAAAAAACTTTGGGTGCTATGAATAGACACATACTAATATTATCAGCTTTAATATACTGCAAGTGTGCATTTTTAATATCTCATATTCAGTGTTCTCTGCGTGCAATGCTCAAATTTTGGATTTCAGTAAATAAATTATCGCTGACTTGATTTATGCAAACTTATGAAGCAGATAAAAATACATACAACCATGAACTTTTAAACAGGTTTATATCTACCTCTATCATCTATCTATCTGTTGTAATTTTGTTTTTAATTTAGGTAGAAGTCCTGATTGCCATAAGCAGTGTGACATCACCATTATTATTCACAGCTTCAGGATATTTGTCTTTCAGTATAATGCTTATTGTTGACATCTTTAGAAACTACCCACCAACTGTTAAAGTAGGTATTTTTTTTAGTTCCTGAACTCTTGGCAGCCTATTATGAATATGATCACAAGCGTTAGGTGAAAATAGCTAAGAAATTGTACTATTTATAAACGAGCATTTATGGACAGAAGGAGGAACTTAATACTGTGTACAGGCAGGAGTTTTCAGAGAAGGAGGATGAAAACTCGTGGTACAGGAGCTGAAGGGAGGCAGGCTCAAAAAGGGAATGGGAAAGCAGAATATTGCATATTTATTTAAAGGATTCAGTCAGTATTTGGCTACAGCTCTACAGTTTAGCATATCATTTATAAGAACATGATGGAGACCAAGTCAAGGCTAGTGAATTTAATGTTGAGGTTTGCCTGTGATGCCATTTGTGCAATTTCTAGTTCTTGGGATGCTTTAGAGATGTTTATCAGTTGATTGCAATCTATTTACGTTTCAACACTGAAAATGCGTGCTTGCGAATTTGCATACTGCTAAAGAACAGTTTCAGGAAATAATTTCAGTTACACTGTAGATCATGGCAAGTTTCTTCTTGCAGGTTGTGGTAACTGAATGTGCTAGTACTTTTAAGCGCAGATGGGCAAAACAAGTGTCTCAGCCTCTTTAAACAATGAGATTCAGATTAGAGATTTTACCCTACAGCTGCTCTTTGGACTGATATACCAGTAATTTTTCTGTGCATTTTAAGACTAACTGTCTTATGTAAGGAAACTATTTGTGATTTTTTTCTAGAATTAGCAATTAGTCATAGGAAGCCTATGGCATATGTACAGAATTAGTGTTTTTTGCTTTTAAAGACAAGTTACCATCATGTTTTTAAAATTGTTTCCCGCATATTTATTCTAAGGAGTCCAAAAGGCATAAAGAAAATGTGGTCCTGTAAATGTTGATGATATATATTTGTGTATGCATATGTGTTTGTTAAAAAGATAAAATAATTTGCAGTCACTGTCCTGCACTTTAAAGAGGGTATTAAGTATCCCAACTAGAAATTGGTAAGGAAACTTTTTGTTTGCAAGTGCAATTAAAGGGAGACTCTGTAGATCAGTTCTGTTTTCTCAGTAAATGTACACTTTTGCTTGGGCTTCATAGCAGTATGCCTCATTCAAGAATATAACAATCAGCTTTCCCCTGAAATAGAGAATTGAATAGTATTTGATATTGGGAGTAGAAGAAGAAAATGGAAATGTAAACTTACAGGGCAGAAAAGTACAAAGTGATTAGCCTGGCTAAAACCTGCTCTGTTCATATATTGATTTTTAGCAGTCTTATGATGTGCTCCTCCTGCTTCTAATGCTGATGCTGTTAGTACAAGCCTTCCTGACCACTGGTACTGTCATAATGTGTGTAAATTTCAAAGCAAAAATGAAAATGCATGACTCCTTGTGGTCTGTGTCACAAATCAACAAACAAGAGTACAAAACAGAGGTGAGTGAGATCATACTTTAAAACTGATCAGATCATTTTGGTCTTCTTGATATCACAGTTATTAATTGCTGTTATAATTATTCTTTAAAATATAGAGGACATAATTCTTTGTAATCATTTGCATTGCCCTTGCATCTAGTGATGGGGGGTCGGATGCTACATTCACTTGATTTGTGGGGTGAAGGATACCTGCTATTTAATTCTGTAAAATGCCATGTACACTGAGGTTGCCATATAAATTAACAAATATTAACATATTTGGACCATTTATTGGAGTAGGATATGGATCACGTTTGTGAACTTTAAACATTTTATAAAACCATAAATAATTCTTTCTTACATAAGATCGATAAATTTATCACAGTTTCAGAGGCGAACTTCCTTTGCAGTTCTACATGCCTCATACATTTAGACATCATACTATAAGCTGTATTAGTTGTGTAATCATATTTGCATCTTTAGTTTTTTCTTGAACAAGCAGTTGTAGGAGTCCCTGAGTTGAGCTGGGGCTAGCTGAGGGGCTTTCTCCCATGCCATTTTGTTGATTAAAGCCCCCCCCCAACACACACACACACACACACACACACACACACACACACACTAAGCTAGAAGTAAAGCAGATATTTCTCCTGAATCCTGTTTCCATCCCAGCAGTTTTTGGACATTTTGTAATCAACAACTAAGCATGGAGGAAAGAGTTAAAACCCCATGAATCTACCTCATCTAGCGATTGCCCTCGTTTTGTGTTTTTTGCTCTCATTTGTCAATGTCAACATTTGAAACCATTTTTTGTTCTAGGTTTCCAATAACAGCATGAAGGATTTTGACAAAGAGAAGGCTTGGAAAGCTGTGGTAGTGCAGATGGCCCAGTAATCTGCACTAAGAAATTGAGCTGGAAGTTACAGCATATTAACCTTTGCATTTGATCAGTCATGAAGCAGCTTACATTAGAGCAGCACTAGCAACTGCATTACGCTGGTTTGAAAATGGCAGAATCTAGAAGAGCTTTAACAGCAGGCGATTATACCTCCCTTTCAAAGTAATATGGCTTGTTTCAGTAAAGTGTGCTTTTGATTGTTGTTCATTAACCTGTTAATCACAGTGTTTTTATTTGCAAAGAGACTCAAGCAGTGACATTGTTGATTAGAAATTTAGACCATTTCAACAGTTAAATGTGTTTAACTGTGTGGTAGTTCTTTGTTATTATGAGAGACTAAACTAATTGTTGGCGTTTTGTTGTCGATGTTACAGTTTAAAGAAATTTGTAAAGTTATAAATGTGTCATTGATGCTTTTGCCTATGAACTTCATTTTTGCAGGAGTTGCACCGTTCTTAAGAATTTCCTGTTGCTTTTATATAAAATAAAAGTCTTCATCACAACAAGTCTAGATATAGATTGATGTGGATTTACACAAAATGAGTGAACATGTCTTTCATTTATTACAGTCGTAGTGAGTTGCAATGTACCTGAACACAGAAATAGATTATTCACAGTAGGAATCCTGTTTGTGGAGACTATTTATTTTCTTTTTCGTGTGTCTTGCTGTTTCTCTTTACCAGCATATTCCTGCACTGAGTAGTGTTCCAGAGTAGAATGGGCTTTTGGAAATCTACAGCGATGCTTAGGATATTAAGTGCATGGCCAGGAGACTATTAGGAACTTGGAAATAATTTTCTGACCATCCGAGTAATAATTCTAGTTTTGACTTATTTATTTCTAAAATCATCTATATTCTGCCTTTCAACATTTGAAAGAGAGGATACAACTACAAAAAGAAAAAAGAAAGAACAAATAGAGTAACCAAAAGTATGAGAAATGTCATAAGAGGATAAACCTACAGTCCCTGGAGGGTGTCCACGTGACCTAGGATTTTGTGCAGTCCAACTCTAAGACGGTAGACACTGCTGTGACCTCAGAAGGGGGGGGGACTCCAAAATGCAGTTCCCCTATTACCCCTTGGAGGAACTTGTAGAGCTCTGAAAAGGAGTATTCCGGTGGGGAGGGAAGAAGCAAGGTTATGATGAAGCCTATGGCCTCTCAGGCCCTGTCCCTGATCCCCAGCAGCCCACCTCTTGTGGAGGCCTGCTTAGAGGAAAATGAAATGACAGGAAAATGGGCAGATGAAAATGAGCTTTGTCACTCCTCCCACCCTCTTGGCAGCCACCCATCAAGGTACTGCTACTTGGAATCCTCCAGGTTAGGTGCCTTGTTTCTAATGGGACACAGCAAATAATTAAACAGCAAGGGGAGTTTCAGGAAAATCCAAACCATGGTAAAATGCAGTGTTTACATCATGCTTAAAATCCCTAAGAGTCAGCACTACTGAGACCTTGGGAGGACTTCCCATGGCAGGGGTGATGAACCCATGGCAGAGGGACAATCACCAGCAGTGAGAGGAACTAAGAGGATGGGGTGGTTCAAGGACAGAGAAAACAGTGAGTAGGGCTAGATTAGATGCATCTATTTGGGTACGGTACTGAATCTGCCTTGGTCGCCCTGTACGATGACCTGTGCAGGGAGAAGGACAGGGGGAGTGCGTCCCTGTTGGTTCTCCTGGACCTCTCAGCGGCTTTCGATACCATCGACCATGGTATCCTTCTGGATAGGCTAGTGGGATTGGGGGTAGGAGGCACTGCTTTGCAGTGGTTCTGCTCCTATCTCAATGGCCGGTTCCAGAAAGTGGTGCTGGGGGACTATGGCTCTGCACCATGGCAGCTATGCCATGGAGTACTGCAGGGGTCCATTTTGTCCCCTTTGCTGTTTAACATCTACATGAAACCGCTGGGAGAGGTCATCAGGAGGTGTGGGCTGCGGAATCATCAGTACGCTGATGATACCCAGCTCTACCTCTCGTTTTCCACCAATCCGGGTGAGGCAGTGGCTGTATTGAACCAGTGCCTGGCCGAGGTAATGGGCTGGATGAGGGCCAATAAACTGAAGCTCAATCCAGACAAGACGGAGGTCCTGTTGGTTGGCGGATCGGGCTTCAGAGAGGGTGAATTGCACCTAGTTCTGAATGGGGTTGCACTCCCTCTTAGGGACAAGGTCTGCAGCCTGGGAGTGCTCCTCGACCCAGAGCTTTCATTGGAAGCTCAGGTGACAGCAGTGGCGAGGAGCGCTTTCCTTCAGCTTCAGCTGATTCATCAGCTGCGCCCCTACCTGGAGTACCACTGCCTGGCGACAGTGACACATGCGCTGGTGACTTCCCGCCTTGACTTCTGTAACACGCTCTATGTGGGGCTACCCTTGAAGACGGTCCGGATACTTCAATTGGTTCAAAATAGAGCTGCCAGGCTGCTGACGGGGACTGGGCGTTATGTTCACATGACTCCAGCCCTCCGTCAGCTTCACTGGCTTCCCATTGAAGTCCGGGCCCAATTCAAGGTGTTGGTGATGACCTATAAAGCCCTAAACGGCTTGGGTCCTGGTTACCTGAAGGAGTGCTTACATCCATATATGCCCGTCCGCCCCTTTGAGATCTGCGGGAGAGGCCCTTCTCTAGGAACCCTCCGTGAAAGAAATTAGGAGGGTAGGTACTCGGAGGAGGGCTTTCTCTGCTGTGGTGCCCAATCTATGGAATGCGCTCCCC